ACAGGATGAAGGGCTAAAGGCTATAAAGGAAATTTTAAAAGGATGTGCTTACAAAGATTATTGGTTAGAAAACAACATTCTATACAAGGGAGAACAGAAATTACTAGTTATACCAAGAAGTATGGAGAAGGAGATTATAAGGAGAACACATAGTAATGGCCATTTTTCTAGCAAAAAAATGAAAGAACTTATTGCAAAAGAGTATTTTATAACAGATGCAGATAAGAAGATAAATGATTATTTGTTGACATGTATACCTTGCATTCTAGCATCTCGGAAATGTGGAAAGCAGGAAGGATTTCTAAACCCCATACAGAAGGAAACCATGCCATTACATACTTTACATTTGGACCACATTGGACCGTTTACTTCAACCAAGAAGCAGTACAATCATATTCTGACCATTGTTGATGCTTTCACAAAATTTGTCTGGCTATTTCCAACAAAATCAACCACTACTAAGGAGACATTATCAAAACTCTATATTCATCAACAAGTGTTTGGTAATCCTAATAGAGTAATAACGGATAAAGGTACAGCTTTCACAAGCAATGAGTTCAAGAAATATTGTGAAGATGAGGAAATAGAACACGTTGAAATAACCACTGGTGTACCTCGTGGTAATGGCCAGGTGGAACGAATCCACCGGATTCTTTTACCAGTCTTAACAAAGTTATGTTTACAGGAACCAGGTTTATGGTATAGACATGTAAGTAAAGTACAAAGAGCGCTTAATAGTACTTACCAGAGAAGTATAAACACAAGTCCATTCAACCTGGTGATTGGCAGGAAAATGAAGAACAAAGAAGATATGGAACTCCAAAATTTATTACAACAGGAAAGCTCAGAGATGTATCAAGAAGACAGAGATGAATTGAGATTGAAGGCAAGGGAACAAATTCAGAAAATCCAAGAAGAGAATAGACAGCAGTATGATAAGCTTAGAAAGGAGAGCAACAAATATGAAGAGGGAGACTTGGTGGCAATTAAAAGAACACAGTTTGGGCCAGATTTGAAACTTAAATCTAAATATCTGGGGCCTTACCGAGTAACTAAAGTAAATAGGAAGGACAGATACAATGTAGAGAAAGCAGATAGCGGTGCAGAGGGTCCGATTATAACTTCAACCTGTGCAGAATATATGAAAAGGCCTACATTTACAGATACTTAAAATAATATTTTTTATTTATTTCATTCTTTACAGGTTTCTCTCTTAATTCACTAATTAATATCTTATGGTACTTACTATGTAGTGACTTTGAGTGTTTGGCACTTATTTTGTTTTATGTTGACTGGAAAGGCAATATCTTAGAATTGGTTATATATAAACTTAAGTATAGAATAAAGTTATTTTCATTGTAATTAAGATTTAGAAAGGGATTGTTTTAGTAGTTCTGCATAGTGTAATAAGAAATACTTAATTCTGTTTTAGTTGTTTGTTATAATTAGTAAAACCTCTATTTGCTGTTAGTAACATAATACTTAAAGTAGCGTAAACTTACAACTGTTATGTAACAAAATGCTTTTTCTTGTATAGAAGTAGTAAAGTGGTATTGTATATTAAGTTAGTTTTGTGTAACTTCAGAAGTCTGAGGCCAGACTGACTCCAGGATGGCCGAACTGTAGGATTGTGAACGGAGTGAAAGACTTGTTTCTGAACGATGAAGTGTGAGAGGGAAGGATAGAGGTGACGGATGACAGATGACTTCTCTTTGGCTATGGCTCTCGATACTGGTGGTTGCGTGCGAGTTGTTTTTCCAAATTTTTAAAATAAAAGTGAGCAAATTAATTTCTACGTTTTATTTTCATCCCACACTTATTTCTCTAAAAAATATGATATTTTCATTATGGATTTTTTTCCATGTCTCCACACTAACCAGGAATGAACATGTAATTAGAGTTTGATAGTAAAACGCGTTAAAACTGCAAAACCTCAAGTGCAATAATTAAAAAAAACATACATCTAACGATCAACACCATTGTGACCACTTATGTTCGGCGGTCGGTTGGGAGTCGATTAAGGGGTAGGTTGGGGGTTGGGTTAGGTGGTGGGATAGGCGGTGAGTTAGGGGATGGGTCAGGGGTGAGTGACCCACCCCCAAACCCAACCCACACGCCTACTCACCCACCCACTCAAACCCACTCACCCACTCTCTAACCGACCACTTAACCCCCCAACCCAAACCCTAACCCACCCCCATATGACCTATAAATTTATCATAATGGTCAATTTAAATTGTTAATCAAATACATTGAAAATTGATTAATTGTTAATTGTAGATATACGCGATTAACGATTGATCAATTGTTAGTTGCGAGAACCGTAATTAACAATTAATTAATAGTTAATTGCGGTTCTCGCAACTAACAATTGATCAATCGTTAATTGCTATTTCGCAATTGACAATTAATTTATTGTCAATCTTTAATTGCCGGAACAATTAAATTTTGAATTTACCCAACACTGCTATGTGGCATACATCCATGGATGGGACAAAAAATCATATTTATTTTGAATTGGCCAACAGAGGAATTACCTATTCGATTTAGATATCTATGTTTCTGTTAACAATTAGTACAGGTATTTCAGTTACTAGTAGCATTTATTTTTAGGTAATTCTTCTGACGTATAAAACGCAGCATTAACTTATTTCCCTTGGCAAGACAGTGTGGTCACACACACGAAAGGGGGGTGTTCGTTTAATCCATTTGTTTTACTAATAATACAATCATTTCTCTACACTTCATTGACACAAAACCAAAAACAATTTAGATATTTAATAACTACATGTTAGAAAACTGATGATCACAACCATTTTTTTTTTCAAAAATGAGAAATTCCATAACACCTTTCTGAATTCACGGTGGCGGTTCAGCACGAAGGTTTTTCGTAATTTTTCGAGGTACTATTAACTATGTCATATGGCTAGATTTTGTTATTTGACTAAAAAAGGAATAGGAAGACCAAAAATGGCGTACAGTAAACAGTAAAGAAGAGCATCGAAATGAATAGCTATAAATAGGTCAAGGAGTTGGCTATGAACAGTGAGAAGTGGAGGAGGCTACACCGACTAGTTCGGCTTGATGATGATGATGATAATTCTGGCAAAAGTTGAGTGAATTTAATTGCACATTCATTCCTACTTACGTGTGCATTGCGGGACGGCGCCGGACCACGTACCGTCTTGTTCGCACTCGAGGCCGGGCGCACCCACTAGTCGGTAGCCCCACGCGCATTGGAATACTGCACGGCCGCCGAATGACGAATTGTATTCAACTACGCTTAAATGTGCGCCTAGGGAACCCAACATCGGACAAAACGTCTCTTCACATGTAGGTGGCAGAAACGACCAACGACCTAGGAACAGTTTAGATTCAGATAGATTCATATATTGTCGGCTAAATTCGTAAACCTGGTATATCCATTAATGTGAACTTTCAAGTGTACCCAAAAAAACCGAATTACTAGAAATAATTATCTTACATAGGGCGCACTATAAGTTTCCAGAACTGGCCACTTACATAAACAATATACAAAATGTAATTATAACATTTGAAAATGGAACTCTTTGGCTGTAGAATACAGTTTGTTTCATGTGACTGTCACTTGTTGTTACATTGTGGCGTCATTTTAGAAATTGATTGTCTACATCACCATGGATTTAACTCGTGAAAATTGTCGTAGTATGATTTTATACGACTTTAAGTGTAAATTAACAGCGCAGCGGGGCTTCGCTCGGCTTCGAACAGCTTTTTGGCGATAAAGCACCATGCAAGACGATTATTTATAGCTGGTTTGCAAAATTCAAACGCGGTCGTGTGAATCTCAGTCACGAATTTCGTGATGGTCGCCCGTCCACTACTGTGAACAACAAAAACATCGATGCTGCGCGCCGTGTGATCAACACAGACAGGCATGTGATATACCATGAGATTGGGCATCTTTAGGCATAGGCATAAGTCAAATACAATCAATACTACACAAACATTTGGGTGTGAAAAAGCTGTGCTCTCGGTGGATCCCACACAATTTGACTGAGGCTCAAAAAACGGATCGCGTCACTTGGTGCAATGCCATGCTTACCATACTCAACGAAGGGGCGTCAAATTTGGTGCGAGACATAGTAACAGGTGACGAAGCATGGATTTATAGTTACGATCCCAAAACAAAGCAGCAATCGAGAGTATGGCTCTTTCGAGATGAGCCGAAACCAACCCAAGTGGCGCGCGTGCAAAGTGCCTCAAGGCGGATGATTGCTTCTTTTTTTAATAAAACTAGACACGTGGCTACTGTTGCTTTGGAGAATCGTTGTACCGTGAATTGCTACACGACATTTGTTTGCCAGAAGTTATTGACAAACTCCGTAAAAATAACCGTAAACGCCGTATCATCTTGCACCACGATTATGACAGTTCTCACATAGCCAGACAGACAAATGAATTTTCGAAGGTGAACAACGTTGACCTTATGAGCCATTCCGCGTACAGTCCCGACTTGGCACCTTGTGACTTTTATTTATTTCCAAAAATTAAGAACCAGTTACGCGGTCAACGATTTTCATCACCTGAAGAGGCTGTTGAAGAGTATGAAAAATATGTTTCAGAGATTGTCACGGAAGAGTGGCATAAATGGTTTCAAAATTGGTTCATTCCTATGAAAAAGTGCATTAACGCTAACTAAGTAACTAAGTAAGCTAAGCTAACTTAGTATTTTTGTCTTATTCATTCCGGAAATTTATAGTGCGCCTCACGTGTTTTGACAATCTGTGATTGTACCTATATTTTAAAACTAAAAAAGAATCTAGAAATTATATTCCTTTTAAGTTTTAATTGCCCGATATTGCGCTTGAAGGGTAAAAAAGGTTTTCAAATTTAGCCTGGTTAGTTTTTAAACTTAGGGGTTTAGATTGTAGAAACTGTAAGTATAATCATTTACTGAAATTCAGGCAAATTCATAACTATCAACATAACGCTGCAAACGCGAGTAGGTGCTGGTTAAGCGTCAAAGAAATTGGCATGTCCAACTATGTGCACGAACGGTACGAACGTTGTGTTATTCTTACCGTCTCCCATGCAAGTGAGAACCGCAGACCCGTTGAGATGAAATCCTGGTTGGCAGCTAAAGTGCGCCACGTGGCCAAGTTTCGTGCCCTGTGTGAACTGTCTTAGCCGAGGTGACGATGCGTTCAAAGGAGGACAGGTCACACCTGCAATAAATACGTTGCAGTCATATTGAAAACTGTACATATTCTGTTTGTTGGGTGTACAGAAAGCGATTGAGGTAAACAGATAGTATTACATTACATTAAAAAGGGCAGGATCCTCTCTGTGCATAATTTGTTACTTTACTGCAATCCCTAACCAATAACACGAATACGGGGTATGTATATGCTTACCTCTTTTTCAAACTGCCGTGGCGCTTTTATTCCTGCACCTAATCGTTTTAAAAAGCAGCTTAAAAAAAATGTACTAGGAAACAATAAGTGCATTAGCTTGTTTTGATTTGCGCTATATCCAAAACTTACTAACAACTTTAATAGTGATGGTGTTGGTGTGACCGCCAGGCGAGGTGCAGGTGTACTGGTCGCTGTGACGAGCGGACATCTTGCTCAGCGTCAGGCGGAAGTGCGTTTCCTTCTCCCCCTCATCCGTGGACCACGCTGAAGTAAGTGCTTAATGTTATTTTTGTTTCCATATTTCATAACTGCCTCAGTGGTCTAACGGTTACCACGCCGGACCGCCACGCAGAGGTCCCATGTTCGATTCCGGGGCCGAGAAAAATATTTGTATGGCCTACATTTATTTATCTCGTAAGTTTGTGGTTGTCTATGTGTGTGTTCATGGCACCTGCGACACAGAGTTTCCCTATGTGTGTGCGTTATATTTACGGCAATTAGGCGTGCGTCGTATGCCAATTGGGAAAGGTAGGCTCATATCGATACAAATTCTCGGCCTTTTAAAAGCGATGTGACAGGTGACTTAAAGGGTGGATAAACACAGGGCTACTTTTAGCAGAGGTACGTTTGTATCGATGCAGTCGCGCGTTTGCATCGCTGCTAAAATTGGCCGTGTGTAACCAGCTATTAGTTTGTTCCAATGCCAAATACGTTCTGACGCATTAAGGTATTGATAATTATGAACGACGTGTCACTGTAAATAACGCGATGTAATATGTCATTCATATATATCTAAGCGTAGACTATGGAAACTGAAGGACATGTTACGTTGAGATATATAAATCAGACATTATATGTATATGATGCATTTCGACATTGAAAACATAAACATGTTATAGTCTTTGTTTAACTACTGCGTGCCGTCTTAAGCCAAAAGAGATAGCATTACATTGGTGTGTGTCAAACACGGGAATCGAAAATACGTAACGTCATCTTAAATGCCAACCGTGTCCATTTCGCAGTACATGAGGTACATGATACCGTTGTCAAAGGAAAGTACATCAAATGTCAAAACAAATATTTTTCCAAATGTACTATTGAATTATTCGCATGTATTATAATTAAATTGGACAAAAATATTGACAGTGAGAATAATAAGGTATTAATAAAAATGCGACGCTGCAGCATTAAGGGATGTGGCTTTAGAAAAAGTGCAAATCAATCGAATGTTACATTGCACAGGCATGTGTTATTTTTTTTACTATAAATCACACAATAGCCCAAATGTTTCATGTAATTAGACTTATTTAAGTAGTTTATTTATAAATCTTGCTTTTGTTACTTTAGATTGCCTGTTTATTAGTATAGTTTGATGATAGTTGTTAATGATTTTTTTGAGATAGTGTTGATCTTGTAAGTATACATATTATCGATATTCTTTTATTAAAACAATTCATTACGAGGTTTTTATTGTTTATTATTATTATTATTTCAAGTTTTCCTACAAATGAAAAAAGGAAGAAAGAATTGTTGGAAATCATAGGACTGCCGAATATAAACATTAGATCAAAGACCATCTTCATTTGTTTGCTTAATTTTGAAGAGTCAAATTTTAACAAAACTTTGATTGTAACTAGATTACAAGACAATGCTATTCCACCATTAGGTTTATTGGTAAATAATTTTATGTTCAATTTAGATTAAACAAGACTTATTGCTTAGTTATTCTCAGTTCCTGAAAACAAAATTATCCACTCGTTTCTGATTTTTCCCAATGACAACTCTAACTATTAAAAATGACTATTTTAACGTTTGCATGAGAAATAATATTCCTAGAAATTACAAAGACGAAACTTTGCATAAATATTTTATATATGAAAGTTTTTCAAAAATACGGCGAAATGAGGTAATAAAGTTTGTATGGTAACTTTTTAACGCATGGTGCGATTTGCTTCATACTTGAATATTTTTCATTTGTATAAAAATTGTACGCGGACGAAGTCGTGGGGAAAAGCTAGTACATGATAATTGTTGATTTCCGATAATTGATTTTTACAACCACTTCCATTATTTCTGTGTTAAAATTGCTTGATAGATTCATTTGCCTAAGAAAGCCCGGGAATTAACGGGAATCAGGTGGAGTGGAGTCATTTGCCTGTCAGGTATAAAAAAAAAAAAAAAAAAAAAAAAATCCGCAGAAACCTGAATAGACTTGTATTTTAATAGACAGTTAGTTAAAAGACGTTACGTAAATATGTACTAAAATGTAGGTTAAAGGCGCTTAAAATAATTTTTATATTTTATTTAGTAAGTACAATTAATACTATGTAATGTTATATACCAGTAAAGTAGGTATAATTAAGTAAGAATGCGCATGTCGCCAACAAACTGCACAGCAGTTTGGTGACTTTTACTAAGTAAGTTACCAGTTGTAATCTTGAAAATATTTTTTTTTTTAAGTTTAAAAATGTGTGTTGATACTTATAATAATATACCACTCGAGATTAAATTATTAGACTTGTGTTTGCTTAGGTATACTTTGGTTACAGTAAACTAAAGAAACAAAAAAAAACAGTTCAACATTCAAGCCATACATTTGCATGTCGATAATGACTTATCGATAGACTTCTTTTTTTTAATATTCGGTTCACAAAACTGGATACAACTCTTACATCAAATACAACAGATTCGTTAACATTATAAGGCGAGAAGAGTGTGTCCTTCTAGATGTGAACACAGCGTTTCGTATTTAAAACATAAAGTGCTTAAACAAAATTATAGTAAATTAAGATTTACATATCTACTATTTATGAAATAGGAAACAGACAACTAAAATTCATCGCGCAGTCACTATATAATACATTTTCTTATTGAGTTTCTAGCTGAGACCACAGAACAAGAGAATATGTCAAAATCATATCTGATAGCATTATAATAAGAACACATGCGATACACTGGACTGTGTTGACCAAGGTTGGTTCTGCAAGTAGGGAGTGCGAAAGTTTTACGATTGATTAGTCGACTTCCGGGACGAGGTACAGATAGATACAAGCACTCGAGTATATCAGGAGCGTCAATGACACCATGAATAATCTTGAATAAAAAGATCAGGTCAAGCGATTTTCGGCGTTTTTGCAATGAGGAAATATTAATATAAGAGAGACGTGACTCATATGAAAATAACTGTTTGCATTTAAAATTATTATAAGTTAGATGATAGAGGAAACGTTTTTGTACACGTTCAATCCTATCAGAATAAACCTGGTAACCTGAGTTCCAGACAGTGGAACAGTATTCTAATATGCTACGTATTAAACTGTTATAAATTAAAATAGATATTGCTGGTTCTTTAAAAATTTTCATTTAACCATGAAGCTTTACCGATAATAGAGTCATAATGATTTTTAAAACTTAGGGTGGCATCTAGGACAACACCCAAATCCCGAACACTGGTAATCTTCGTTAAGGGCGTATGGTTGATAAAATAAGTGACAATTGATGACTTTTGACGCCTAGTAAATTTGATGTGGTAACATTTATTTGTATTTAGGACCATACCGTTATCACAACACCATCTATGCACTCTGTTAAGGTCATTTTGAAGCAGCTGGGCGTCATTAAGCGAGTTGACAGCTCTGTATAGCTTTAAATCGTCAGCATACATTTTAAATTTCGAACTCAATGTTAAAGCAATATCGTTAACGAACATTAGGAAAAATAGTGGACCCAGATGAGAGCCCTGTGGCACACCGGATGGCACCAAACGCAGTTCAGATCTAAAACCAGAAACTGCCACCAACTGAGATCTATTGCGTATGTAGGATTCACACCATCTTAGTAGCGATCCGTGAATTCCCATCTGTTCCATCTTGTACAGAAGAATATCGTGATGCACCAGACCAAACGCCTTTCTGAAATCGGTGTAAATCGCACCTCACCGCCCCCATCCAAAACATTCGATATTTATATAATATTCGAGATTATGGTACAACACTAAAGAAATCCGCCATTTGTAACTTTCAAATTTTGGTTATATACACGTTGATTCTGTAGTTAGGGCAGCTCCTTTCTTTTATTTTTTTTTCCATCCTCTAAGTATCTAAGTCATGTCAGTCAGCCAGTCAGAAATAGCTTAGAGGATGGAAAAAAATAAAGGAAAGGTGCTGCCCTAACTACAGAATGAACGTGCATATCTAAACAAAAAATGAACGTTACAAATGGCGGATTTCTTTAGTGTTGTACCATCATCGATCGATCAGTCATTATGGGCATGCAAATGTATGGCTTGAATGTTGAAACTGTTTTTTTTTTGTTTAAAGTAACTTAATAAACTAATTTACTGTAATCATAGTACGATTAAAACGTTTAATTAAAGTAGATCAATATTCCATTGGGAATATCTTGTTCTATTTCTGCGAATAATCGATCCTGATTATTCGCTGAAATAGATGAAATTTTGTTAATTTATATGTTCTTTCTTTGTTTTGTGTTAATTGTGGCATTTTATTGAATTGCGTTACAAAACCAGTATGCATTTCATATGCGGGCGAACAAACGTGTGAGCACTATTGGCCGGGCGCCATTGACTTGTGATAAGCGCCAAATGAGTTCTATACACGTTGGCGCTCGCCTTCGCTCGGTCAGCTAGGCGAGTAACACCGAACGATGGCAAGGCAAGGCAAACAGGCTATCTATACGTCGGTATTGGCCTGTGTTGCTGGCTTTAAAAAATAGTAATTTTTAGTATTAAAGTTGTCAGTGGGAAAAAATCGGAAACGTGTGGTTAATTTTGTTTTCAGGAACTGAGAATGCCTAGTAAATGAGTCTTGTTGAATCTAAATTAAATATAAAATTATTTACCAATAAACCTAATGATGGAACTGAATTATCATGTAATCTAATTACATTCAAAATTCTGTTAAAATTTGACTGTTCAAAATGAAACGAATAAATGTAGATGGTCTTTGATCCAATGTTTGTATTCGGCAGTCCTATGGTTTCCAACTATCTTTTTTCATTTGTAGAGAAACTTGAAATAGTATAAATAATAATAACAAAAACCTTGTAGTGAATTATTTTAATAATAGAATATCGATAACATGTACGCTTACAAGAATAACACTGTCACAAAACAATCATCAACAATAATCATCAAAATATACAAGTAGGCAATCTGAAGTAACCAAAGCAAAATTTGGAAAGATTTACGAATAAATAGCTTAAATAAGTCTAGTTATATGAGATAGCTATCTATCTCATATCAGTTATTTATTCGTAAATCTTTTTTGTGATTTATTTTATTCTTTTGTGATTTTTCGGCTTTTGTGTGATTTATAGACAGAAAATTAACCATGCCTGTGCAATGTTACATCTGGTTGATTTTCGCTTTTGTTAATACCACATCCCGTAATGCTGCAGCGACGCATTTCTATTAATACCAAATTGTTCTCACTGTTAATATTTTTGTCCATTTTATCCATGCAAATAATTTAATAAAAACTTGGAAAAACATGTTATGACATTTGACGTACTTCCCTTTGACAACCGTATCATGTACTTCATGTACTGCAAAATGAACACAGTTAGCATTTAATATGCGTTACGTATTTTCGATTCCCGTGTTTGGCACAGACCAATGTATTGCTATCTCTTTTGGCTTATGACGGCACGCAGTAGTTAAACAAAGACTATAACATGTTTATGTTTTCAATGTCGAAATGCATCATATACATATAATGTCTGATTTATATATGTAACATAACATGTCCTTTGGTTTCCATAGTCCTTGGACTATGGAAACCATTTATTTTGTTAGAAAACTATGCCAAATAACAAATGGTGACAACTGCGCTCTGATTGACCAGCCCGAATTCGAAATATACATTAGAGTTGGGCATGCAAATATTATATTATCGAAATCGATAATCAAGATGAAATATAATCAATTTGATAATTATATAAAGCATTTCACACGACGAAGTGAAAATGATCAAATTTTTAGTTTGGCCCTTATACTTAGGACCCATCGATATGGCATTATATCATTATCCGTTTTTTTACACGCCTGACCAAATATAGGAGCGTAATGTTTTCATGGTGAATATATGTAAGGAAATATCGTTTATTGATTCCTCTGTAACTTCTGAATGTTTTAACGAATTTCGAATTGTCCAGTATTGTTAGAATCCATAGTCATTCCGACTGAACATGGCATTGGGTATCAAAAAATGTCAAAACACAATTTTGTAGTGACAGCAAACAAAAAAATATATATAAATAAAAATAAAATAAATTTTCAGTTTACTTTCTAAAGTCACAGAGACAGCCGTGTTTTTTAATTATTATTTTTTAATTCGATTTTATTATGCAATGAAGTAGAAATAAAAATAACTAAAATAGATTTGAGCCAGGCGAGGGATAAGGCCATGTTTAGTTAAACAACCGTTTAACGATCAAACGACATTTAATATGCACAAACTAGATACCTAAAAATACAGGTACTTATTTAATTAATTTAGGCATCGCAACTACACTATTAAAGTTCTAAGATTTAATTGCATAGCTTTATGAAGATTGCATAATATATAAATGTACTCTCAAACAAAAACAATTTTTTGAGCAATAAAATTAGTGTTTCTTGTGCATAATCTGACATACTTATAAAATCAATACATTATACTCATGGCTCAATACTTAACTACAACGACGTTAGATGTAGATTTTTTTACTTCACCGATTGTTTAAATAAATCATTATACATATAAAAAAAATCATATTAAGTATCAATACTTGTAAGTATAATTATTAAATTATGCTTGCAAATATCGATACTTAATATGATTTTTTTCAGTGCAACACTACTAACGCGTGCCTAACGAATAGAATGAGATGACGTAATGGAAATTGAATTAGGTGGAAGCAAGACGCATAAATGATTTCAAACAATTGATGATGGTCGTCAATTGTTTCACTTCAAATCGACCAGTTTAACATGAGCTATGTTATAATGGTCGATAATTGAATAAATTACATATTTAATATTTAATTACCGATGAAAATGTGATTCCGTTTGTTTTGTAATTAGATGTTTTACTGTTTTTCCCACACCACTGAATAGAACAGCACGCCATTATTACAGATAATATGTTTATTACAATAATTACAGAATATTTTTTGGAATATACGGAGACGTACACACAGGTCAATTGTTGGCGCTGTACCATTTCAGTGCAAACGAGAGTTGATATTTATGAGTGATGTATCACTGATAAGTTACCAGGAATGTATGGCACTTATTTCATCTCTATTTCTGGTTATATACTCGATGATCTAAGTAAATATTGTCAACAAGAACGAATCGACATTACAATCTTTCACTAGATTATTATTTTAAAAAGGAACCGAAATACTACGTGTTATAAACGAAATACCAGTTGCCCTAGATGGGCAAAACAGACACATGTTTGTCCTGCCAGATCGAAGGAATTTTTCTTTAATTTCGATCTTTAATTCAACTAGCTTTTTATAAAAGTTATTAATGTTTATGACAAGCTAGTTGAATAATGTAATAAAATAAATTAATATTAGGGGTTAAAGTATGAAATTGCCGTTTTATTGCAATAGGT